GACAGATCTTCCCATACCAGAAGAAATGGGGGTTGATACAGGTGTGTTTGGGAAAGTGACACTGGCTAAGTTAGGTGATGTGCTCGAGGTCACATGGGAAGCCTGTAGCTAAGCCAGGAAGTGACTCTAGGCCTTCTGAATCTGGATTGACTGACCTACCCAGAGACCATCATAAGGTAAAAATTCCACCTAATAGAAAACATGAGAGAGAATTCCAAAATCAACTTGAATCTAAAGCTGTTCTGTATATGCTTAGATTCTTTACAGTGTAATCAGTCTAACCTTTTATCTAAGGCCACACCTTGTGTCTTTTAAATGCAGCTCTAAAAATTTTCCTTGTGTCTCCATTCTGCAACTGTGGGTCAATACTTTCAGGATGGAACAGTTAGTATAAAGAACATATTTCCTTGCAGTAAACAGGTGAGAAACAAAGCTCATTCCTTTACATACAAGTCCACATCTAGCCACTCTCTACATGCAAGTACTAGGAGGGAACTCAAGTAATACCCAGCTTTGCAGTGTTAATGCTTCAGGGTCGACCTCCTACTGGATTCAATAGAAGAATTTCCACTGGCTTCAATTTAATATGGGCTAGCCTGTTAGTGCGTCTGTTCCATGTGTGGCACAAGCACAGGGGTGGGCAAAATGGTGGATCCGGCTGGGGGCCAGACTCCATTTCCTAGCAGCCCCTGCTTGCATCACTGCACCCAGTTTCCATGGAGACCTCAGCAGCAGTGAGGCCATGACAACATGGGGCCAAGGTTTCCATGGAGACTGGCAGCGTGCCTGGCTGGGTGGAGAGCTGCTCTGGGGCTGGGACTGGGATCATGTGGTGGTGACAGTGTGGTTTGGAAGCGGGGTAGAGCTGCAGTCTGCTGCCTGCATGCCTTTGCCCGGGCTGTGTGGGCAGCGGATCACAGTTCTGCCCTGGCTCCGGACCACGCTGTCACCAACACGAGATCCCGGTCACGGAGCAGCTCCCCGCCTAGCTGTGCCCTTTGCCGGTGCTGCTGAGGCCGGTCTCCATGGAAACCCTGGCCCCACTGCTACTGGGATCTCCATGGAAAGTGGCTGCATCTGGATGGGGCTGTTGGGAAATGGAGTCTGCTGCAGGCCCAATCCAGCCCATGGGCCAGACTCTGCCTGTCCCTGCACTAGCATGTTCAATTTGTTGCTTCTCCACTGTTAGTACACATGACCTCAAGCCACTGCCACACTCCTCTTCATCTCAGTGCCAAGAGAACAGAAAGAGGCTGGTTAGAATGAGCTGAGGCTTAGACAAGAGAGGTGTTTATACACGTACTCCGGGGGTGGGGGGCATTCCTAATTAAAGTACCCAGAGTGTCTTTTGTCTCAGCGTCCCTGTGCTTAAAAATGGCAGCAGGGGTGCTTTATCTAAAGCTCGTTCAATGAGCTTTAGATAAAGCACCCCTGCTGCCATTTTTAAGCACAGGGACGCTGATGCATGAGATACTGGAGGCTGCTGGAGTGCAGTAATTACCACGTTCCAGCGCTGTAATTATAGCATGGCGCAGCCTCACTGCTCACATAGAAGTGCCTTAGGATTTCTTTAAAAAAAAAAGTGAGAGTTAAAGGCATAGAGGGACTAGATAAATGATGTCCCTTGCTTTGCCATGGAATCTGAGACCTTCCACAAAACACTTCACTTTAGTTTCAGCTTCCCTGAATTTATGTGCAACATAACCCTTGATAACTGCAGTATTGAGGAATATTTGTAAAGGCTTTCAAATGGGTTCACAAAAGAACTAATTATTGCTACTATTATGAGGAGAGTTCAGCACCAGGAGTTGGCTCTCTCAGTTTCTTACAAGACACCACCTTAAGCAAAAAACAAAAACAAAAAAATCCCCCAAAACAAGCAAGCTAAAGAAACAATGCCCCCCCCACCCAAACAAACCAAACCAAAAAGAATTTGCTTCTAACTGGATTCTGAACATGGGTGACTGGTACCTCCTGAGTTAGGGTGGGGCACATGCCTCCACAGTGGCCAGTCAGCAACGGGGCGGGGGTGGGAGCCCTATGCATTGTGCACCCCCTACACGTTGACACTGAATATACAAAGCCTCTTCTTTAGTAGTCAAGAAAAAATTGCATGAAAGCTGGCTTAGGCTGGGACAGCTGAGTGATATTCAATTATATGGTGAAGGGAAAATTTGGATGCTCACAAATCCAAGTCAGAAGCTATTTGTACAAGAGTCCAAGATGCAAACTACTCACATTTATCTTGGGAAAGCCCTCTACTGAGGCTGGGGGCTGGACCACAGGAGGAGGGGACTGATGCGGAACAACAGGCTCATGAGAAGTTGGCTCTGTTGGCTTTTCCTGTGGCAAAGGCTCAACTTTCTCTGGTTCTGTTTTCTCATGTTGGGGTGAATGTGTGGATCTCTTTTGCTGAGGGCTAACAGAGTGAATCACAGGCTCAAGAGGCAACTCAGGCAGCCTTCTGATCTGAGAAAAGAAAGAGCAATTTCTGTAAAAGATATCTGTGCAGTCAGTTAAAAATCAGTCATTAAAGAATGTAAGCCCATGAGCCTCTACAACTTCATCCAGCATTCAAATAAATACCACCAGCTCACTTAAAAAAGTCCGTTCAACAATCATTTCTCTAATTGTAGCATATGGCCTACTGGCAATAAAACCCAAGGGAAGAGAACAAATTAGAAGTAGCTTCACCTATTGAAAAAAGTGTTTTCTGTGTGCGCTACATGCTACTATGAAAAATATCCTGGTATTTGGGTAATGTTGCTCTTGAACTCCTCTAGTTTGAAGTGAGGCCACCAGAAGCCCTTACGGATGTAGGTCAGCAACAAGGGATATCTAGAAGTACAAGAGACACCCATTCTGTGGGTTGATTTAGGTATCTCTACAAGAAGTTTTACTGATCTCCGTTTCCCTTACAAACCCATTCATTTATGTTTCATGGCCTGTAAATTAGCCAAGCCTGACATATATCCAGTGTAATTGCTAGATATTACCACTTTTATATACAAAGACCATATGACATTATGATTGTATCTATGGCAAGATCTCCACCTGAAGCAAAGTTACAGGGCAAATAAAAAAGGAAACAAGATATGAAAGCCTCCATGTTAAATGTTTAATAGAATCTAACAAGTCCTACATCTGGAATGTGTTCTGAGCGCTCAACTATCCCCATTTTATAACACCCACTTGATAAGGCCTTGAATCATAGCAGCTAAATGTTCATTTGTTATCATGCCTACCATCAGCTCTGGATCCATAAGGTTGTGGAGCTCCAGTTGCTGATACACCTTCAGGCGGTACTCCTCCATCTGCTGTTTCTTTTTTTTAGCAAGATCATAATCCTCTTTCTCCACAGCGCAGCGTTTTTCCACTTCATACCGCCCGAGTCGCTCACCAACCTGAAAGACACTACTTTCATGTCAACTACTTAACTGGGAACCACAGTGTTTTGAATATAGGAAGACAACTTTTTTCTGGCCAGGCCTCTCAGCTTAGTTTCTGGTGACTCCTTTTTCTATAAATATTACAGAAAACTATGGACAACTGGGAAACTCATAGGATTATGACTGAACAATCAATCAATCAAATGATCATCATACGATACCTTCTGCAAGTCAGCAATAGCTTGCTTGAGCTTCTTGGCATAGTCATAGCGTTCATGACGGACTGCTTCTTGCTTCTTCTCATCCAGTTTACGAATTATTTGAGCAACTTCTGGATCCTGGTACATATCAAAAGCCAAGTCATCCAGTGGTGAAATAGAGTCAGGTTTCCTGGAGAGAAGATATCAGACATTTTTAGAGTCAAGTCTCAAGTACCAACTCTATCACCTACCTTCTCTTTTGCTTATTCCCCCTCTCCCCAAATCCTTATCTATTCTGTGCATCCAACTTATTCTACATTGGCCCTCACATTCAAATTGCTTTATGTTTTGTTTTCAAATACAAACTTCTACTGAAAGATCCTCTGATACTTTTTTCAAGGGCTGGTTTTCAACCATATTAAGCAGTTTTCTTTTTGAAAGGAAGGTACAGGAGTTGTTCAGTCAAAGGTTCTACTTAAAAAAAAAAAAAGCGTGAATGTAATAGCATCCTTACCCAATATATGTTCCATCTAAGGCTGGGTCTTCCGAATTGCTCCCAAGATAATGGTCAATCAGCTTCTCTCTTGAAGGCTTTAGAAGAAATGATTAAAGTAAGGTCACCAAGACTTCTTTGTGTACAGGACAGAAATGAGTTCAAGTACTTAAAAAGGAATACATATTTTCATGCTTCTCATTACACATCTCTACACTTACAGTTAAGTAACTGAGCACGATTAACTTAATCTAAACACTGTTGAAGGTTAATTTTTTTGTTACAGTTCTTTCTACATCCCTCAAAACATCTGTTCACCACAATCACATTAACCTTGGCAAAACTACTGTATTTGTTAACATGTCACTAACGCAGTAAATTTGAAAGCCAATGTTTAGGACATCTTGAAAACACACAGTGACTGTGTAACAGAATGACAGTACTTGTCTGACAAACTCCACCATGTTAGGTGTTGAGCTTACAGAGAAAGTGTTAGTATAGCCTGCTCTTTCATCAGCCACCTAGATAAGGGAAAGAAGGGTGAATCTTTTGGGATGAAAGAAACAACATGTGTGCTGAACAGCCCAGAGTGAGGAAGGCTGCTATGCCTTGGGACAAGGCTGGAGATGAACTTTGGTACCTCTGTTGCTTTGTTTATTAATAAAACCAAACCCAAAAGGGGACAATCTTCACATAAGACAATGCAAAACTACCCAGTCACTTGCATATTGACTGTGTTTAAAATACTGAGAACATAAATATTACTTCTTCAGTGAGGCCATTCTGAGTTATTATTTTCATGATCAGACATATTTCTAAGACAGTTTCCTCCTTGTCAAAGTTACATAAAAATACCGAGCAAGTAAGCTAAAGCAAAGCAATTGTAACCAAAAAGGTCAAAAGGAATTCATCCTTGATTATCCTGACCCATAATTAAGTATATGTATAGGAACTTTAAAAAGAAAATTTAGAATTTGACCAGAAACCTTCTATGCTTTAAGTACTTACATTATTATTGTCATTAGTAGAGTCAGCAGGTTCCCCAATTATATTTATTGCTACTAGAGCAACCTGAGATAGAATTAAAAGAAACATGAATACAGAAGGCCATTAGAATTTACCTATTTTATGAAGACCCAAACATTGTACAAAGTTTTGCTGACCCCCCTGAAGTGTACTTTTCAAAAAGTAAAAGTTAATATTGAGCTACATAATTCTAATATTCTCATGTTTCCCTGGGTTCCTTAGAGTTTGGAAATCATACTATTTCTTTATACCGTATTTTAAAAGACCACGTCTTAGGCTGAAATTGAAATGGAAAGCACATGCATGCAAACCCACAGCCACGCCTTTTAGATATTATTTTTCTCTCTCAGCCATTTAATCACTGATCAGTGATTGTTTTATGTAGCTGGGCAAAATTATTCACTTTTTAAATATGCATTAAAGTGGAGCATACTGAATACTTCCCTCCTTTTCTGTGCCTTAAGTATGATTCATATCTTGAGTAACTATCAAGTTTAGAAAGGCACCTTCTCAATCTGGATAGAAGTTCATCTATTCAGTCTAACAAGAAATATCATATCCTAGTGACTGAAAGATATTTTGTAGTAAACAAAATACCAGCAGAGGACACCAGAGGAAGCTTTTAAATGCATTTTACCCTCAAAAGGTTTGTTCTGGCTATATTAGCTTGCATCTTAGATGTATTTATTCTAGAGAAATGGAGGAACTTCCTATTTTAAAGCATTCAGCAGGAGAACTTTTATACCATCTATGCTTTTGAGGTACAAAGAGCACTTGACTTTGTCCACCAAAGTACAGTTCTTACCATTATATCTAAAATATAATACAAAAGTCCTTTATAACCCCATCTTTTTTGTTTTTCTTCTTTCTCCTTGGAAAATTGCTCAGTTGCATTAACCAGCTTCCCAGTGGAATTTGTACTTTTAATGATTAATGGAGAATTTCTCTATGACTGATAGATGACTAAAATGTTAGCCAGAGTATGACAAAGTCATTACATAAACACCTCTTACCTGACCATACAAGTTGTACCTATTGACATAATTTTTATGAAAAGTCAGCTTTAGATATTGTCCAACTGCATCCACATACACTGATTTCAGCTCCCGTGCTTTGTACCCAGTCTTCTCATTGTCTGATAGAGATACATAACTGTGGGGAGAAAAACAGATTAACTGTAAAAAGCATACAAGTTGGCAAGGTATATTTTGACGGGCTGTAAAATTCCCCTGAGAACTAAACTAAAGAACACCAGTTGAAGATGTTGCAGCCTTGCCTTTTTGCTTAAAAGCAGCTCTACAAACTAATTTAGTAGCCACTTGAAGTCAGCAGGTGTCTTTTCACTCACTTCAGTATGCTTTGGAGTTGAATAAAGACAGTAGCTCTGGTCCCAAATTGAGAAAGTGTGTAGGCGGATTCTCTGCCCAAGTCTCTACATAAACAGAAGCCACTGAAGAACTGGAACCAATGTTAAAGAAACCTTGTGGCATTAAATATGCCTCACTATTAAAACAATACTGGACTAGAGATGCATCAAACCAATCAACAATCAATCACTGTTCCCCTAGAACTGCACGACACTGAAAACTTCCATACATAATGATATTAATGTAGTTATAAATATCAATTTCAAGCTACTTCAGGAAGGGACTACATTGTTTTTTTGTTTGTGCCTGGGAGAGTCAAACTGATGACAGATGCTTCTAAGAGCTACCACATTACAGAAAAATTACATCTTCCATGTTTCAGAGGTGTTGGTTATAGACATTTTAGTCAAAGGACATAGGCAGATAAGGGTCTTTGGATAAATATGATGTGATACCAGCTACATTCTATCACCAAGTCAACATTCCCTCCTTTCCCCTTCTCCCCACACCAACCTACCTGTCTTCCACCTATTATCTCCCATCCCTTCTGATCTTTCCTACCATGCATTTGCATTTTCACAGACCTGCATTTTTCATATTGGCTTAAGCTTCTATTCCACCCAGGAGAGCGCACAAACAACAGCAGGCTCTTCCTATGCCTGAAGGGTGTTTGTGCCCGAAAGCTTGCAAACAATACATTTTCTAACTATTTAACGGGTCTAATAAAGGATATCACATTTACCCAAAGAACCTTGTCTGCCACATTACAAAAAAGTATTCGATACATGTCTCCCCTGTGAGTCATTGAAAGGAAAAGAATGAGCATGCTTTCTCCATGTGCGTATGAGACATGCATACCACAGAAATGTCAGCCAATAAGCCTCCAAAATATCTAAACTTACATTTAATATAAGCCCACACAAAAGACTACAGAGCAAAATAAGTTCTCAGGTACCCACCCACTGTATTCTACTTTATTATTTTGGGGTTGCATAGGGACATCTGGGGGCAGAATTTCTATTTCACTGTTTGGAAAATGTCTCAGCAACATTTCACCCAAGGCTAACATGTGGAGAGGGAGGCAGGCAGGGAGCGCCGAGGGCATGGGCACATCCGCACGTGCCCGCCCTCCCTCGGCAGACCTCCCCATGGCTGCTCCCATGGACGCACGAGTCTTTGAGCCTCCGCCCCAGCACCCCCCCGCCTGCCCCACCGAGCGGGATGAGGCGAGGGGACGGAGCACTAGGTACCTGGTAACCTTGGGGTGAGGGAAACGGTTCTGAACTCCAGGTGGTCCCAATCCCCACTTCCAGACGCCGCCTTCCCCCACCCCCGCGGATGGGTGGGTGAGGAACAGGTGCCAGAGGGGGACGTGGAGCTGAGCCCAGCACCCTCCAGCCGGCTCCGCAAACCCCACGAGGGGGGGAGAAGCATCCACCTGGAGGGCAGCAGCCAGGACTCACCGCCATGGCCAGCGCCTTCCTGTCAGGGGGGGCTGGGGTTTCTCTCAGGTCCCGGCTAGTTTCCCTGGGGGCTGACATGGCTGGGGCCGGCCGGCTGCCCGCACGGGCCCTCCCCATCCCACCCCAGCCACTGTGGACGCCCGCCCGCAGTGGCGGCCGACAGCCATGCTCCCTGCCACCGTGCCCTGGGCCCCTTCCTTGCCCCTGCTCAGCCAGGGCTGAGGGGCCCAGGGAGGGAAACCCAGGGACATGGGCGAGGGGCACAGAACGGCCGACTGGCCCACCGGGGTGCGTGGCCCAGAAGGAGGCTGGGGACAACACGGACGCGAGAGCGAAAGAGAGTACCAGCACACGGAGGGGTGGGCAGCCTGGCAGTGGACCGACGCTGCCGAGAGACAACCCCCGGCACCAGGCGGGAGCCCTTCCGGGGACCCCGCTCCTGGCCTCCCCAAGGGGAGGGGGAACAGGGGCAGAGGGGGCCACCTGGGAGAGCCAGAGGGCACCCCGGGGGCCTGCTTGGCGCCTGGGTCTCGCCTGCAGCCGCGGGGTGGGGGCCCGTCCTGCATGCCGAGCAGTGCATCCCGGGGCTGGTCTGCGCGTGGGGCCCGGACGTGGCTGGCATGTGCATGCACACGCGGCCGCTGGAGGCGGGGATGGGGGGGCACGGCCCTCTGCTCCACGCCTGCCGAGCCAGCACTGCGCGTGGTGACCCCGTTAACGATCCTTCCGCAGGTTCACTTATGGAAACCTTGGTACGACTTTTACTTCCTCTAAATAGTCAAGTTCGACCGTTTTCTCGGCGCTCCACCAGGGCCATGACCGACCCCAACGGGGCTGATCTGAGGACCTCACTAAACCATCCAATCGGTAGTAGTGACGGGCGGTGTGTACAAAGGGCAGGGACTTAATCAACGCGAGCTTATGTCCCGCACTTACTGAGAATTCCTTGTTCATGGGGAATAATTGCAACCCCCGATCCCCATCACGAATGGGGTTCAACGAGTTACCCACACCTGTCGGCGTAGGGTAGACACATGTTGAGCCAGTCAGTGTAGCGCACGTGCAGCCCCGGACATCTAAA